CCCCAGCCACCAGTGTACACGATCATTCTTGAGAATGAAAGAACTTAGCTGTAGCCAGCACCCATCACAACCTCTGAATGTCTCCGAGCTCCTGTAGTGAAGTGTCTGTGATGTAGGGTGCATGGCTAAAGCTCTTGAACAGGAATGCGATAATGAGCTTGAGATCTGTTTTTGTGACGTTAATTGAGGGATAAATGTTGCCTAAGCAATTGGGGATGACTCCCCTGCTCTTCTCTCTCAAATAGTCACGGGGTCTATTAGATCCCCCTGAGGGGGCAGGTGGGGCCTTCAGCTCAATCTGAAGTCAATGCATGCGGCAGTGCAATGCTGCCATGGTACTGCACTGGAGCACTGACCCCAAATTTCTGTGCTCACGTTTCCAGAGTGAGACTCGAAGCCACAACATTTTGACCCTGAGTGAACATGCTTGCTGCTGAAACTTTGTGTCTTAAGAGAAATGGAAATATTTAGGGAGAGACTGGTTGCTGAATGGGGTCTGGGTCATTGAACACATGACCAACACTGGGGGACCTTGTGCAGTGGCTAGCACTCTGATGAGCTAACATTAAGACTTTTCATTTAAATTACATTCTTTGCTGTTTGACTTGCTTATGTTTTGACACAGGTTGTTATTCAATGAGCTACCTTTTACTTTGGCTGGAAGAGGTTCAGTTGTTTCTCTAGGAACTTCATTCAGCTATCTAAAGAATGTTCTGGTAATTGTTCTCTGTGTAAACAGCACTGAACCAGGGCAACAGTTGCTGTGGCAATGTTCTAGAGAGTTCTGTGTGGGCCTGAGGGTTTTCGAATGAGAGAGACCAGAGAGGGGTACGTTGGTTGCTGAGCATGGGTGGGAGATGGAGGGACTTAGGGTGCCAAATTGAAGCCACATCAGATTGGGAGGTTATTGATGGAAGGGTGGGCAGAAAGAACATTCCAAAGAATGCTAGTCAAACAAACTGGAAGCACTGTTATGGCCAATGGTCAGTCAGTTCAGGACAGCCATGAGGTGGTATTATTATACCATGGCATTAGAGCATGAATGGATTCAGTGTAAGGACCTCAAATGGGATTAGCTGATCCCTGATGATAGGTTAGTTGGCAATTTTAATATTTATTTCACTGACAACAGTCTTGCGCGTGTGGACTTGACCCCTGGTTTAAGTCCGGACAGTTGTATCATTGGTGATACATCAGCCCACTCTCCAGAAACCTCATCTTGCATGCCTACACCCCACCCATAGTACCCCCCCCCCCCCTCAAAAACAAGTGCTGCTAACCCTCCAGGATTACTCTGGAAACTATGGGTTCTTGGGGTACTGTGGTAGTATCCCTACCTCTGAGCCAGGAGGACCAGGTTTGAGTCCCACCTGCTCCAGAGATCTGTCATGTCATGTCCAAGACTTAATCTCCAGGACATGGAGGCCAGCAAACTGAGGAACTTTTAAAAGAAAGTAAAGCTTATTTTTCTCATTTCTGAGTTGGTAAATTTTGTTAGTTATTTTAAAAATTCATATACGGGGAATCATTTACAGCAGGGGATGTGGTGGTCACATGATGAAACCATCACGTATATATCTGCCCAGACAGAGTGCTGGAGAAAGTCAGCAGGTCTGGCAGCATCGGTGGAGAGAGAGAGAGAGTTAATGTTTCGAGTTCAGTGACCTTTCATTAGTCAACTCTAAATGTTAACTCTGTTTCTCTCTCCACAGACGTGCCAGACCTGCTGAGACTATCCAGCACTTGCCGTTTTTGTTTAAGATCTGCAGTTCTTTGTTTTATGTTTAATTCTGCCCAGCGTTGGCACCCTTGCATAATTCTGGGCACTGAGGGCATTTGCAGGCTGTCGTGGTTACTTATATAAAGGTCACTGCTGTGTCCTTGTGTGATTATTACCGCAATGTTGTTGCAGATTGAAGGAATATCATCTTTCATGTGTAGCTGGACATGGATGTTGGTGTCTGAGCGTGTCTCCTGAATCTCATGAATTTCATGAATCTGAATCTGATGGAACGCAGGGAATTTCCTCTCCCCTGCAGACCAGGTGCCTGATTGTAAACCACAAAAGCAGAAATTGCTGGGGAAGCTCAGCAGATCTGGCCTCATCTGTAGAGAGAGAAGCAGTTAATGTTTTGAGTCCAGACCCTTCAGAATTGATTGTGAGGGTTACTGGGAGCAGAATACATAGATTATTGAGAGGGTGAAAGGAGGAAAAGTGAACAGTCCATTTTATAGAGATAGTAGGAACTGCAGATGCTGGAGAATCTGGGATAACAAGGTGTAGAGCTGGATGAACACAG